TGAATGCTGGTGCTTTTGGTCCCATATAAATTTGATCAATGTCTGTCCAGTAGTTTTTGAGTTATCTTTAATAATTTTTTGCTGATTGCTTGCTATTTTACGACGTTTTTGGAAATGGTCGAAGTTAACATTTTGGTGTTTTATTTGGTGTAAGAGCGAGCGAAGCGAGCTCGGGACTTGGGGCACCCCGACTCGGACAGGTTAGATTAGATGGAGGGGTCTGTTCGCTCGCTTCGCTCGCTCACTCGACCCCGCCACCCCCTTCGTGGTTATTTTTTCCGAGCTTCCCTCGCCTGCGCCACGTTGAGTGACGTTGGGTTACCCTCCTCCAACTCTCTGTCCCTACAAATCAGGTATTGTCTTGCAATTTATATTGTCAAAAACATAACCTCAAAATGAGATTTTTAAAAATTTATAAAAAAAAACTAAGCACGTCCGGCAGGAAATGGAAGTGGGGGTGACTCTATAACTCCCCTCCCCCTCCCTTAACCCCCCACCCCCAAATTCAGGCGAATTGATTCTAAACCTTACCCCAAAGACGTCTCTCAACATATTATAATACCACAAACAATCTGTGTGTATTGTGTAATACATAACCCGATCTTCGACTTTACGCATCCATAGTTGCTAGCCACGAAAGCATCGCATTAGCATAATAACGCTTCGGTATTCAGAGTAGATATAGTAATAGGGTTAGTAAAGTAACTAACGCCTATTATTATTTGTACTCATTTATTTTGTTTTCTTTTTTTTATGATCGTTTAGAAATAAGATTCAGCAATTTAATTTATATACTTTTTGACAGTAAGCAATGTAAAATGTAAATATTAATTAGAAAAACACCGGCCAAGTGCGAGTCGGACGCGCGCACCGAGGGTTCCGTACAAATCCGTAGGTATATAAGTTTAAAATTATTAAAAATATTTTTATTATATGATGTAACTAAAAATTTATGCTTTTTGCAATTTTTCCTTTATCTGTGCTATAAAACGTTGCTTTGTACCAAATTTCAAGATCCTGAGTTCACGGGAAGTACCCTGTAGGCTTTGATTCCTTTGCGAATGTCGAAAATTTACGGCATAAACGGCTGTATCTTTTGATTGCGTTGGGTTAAAAAAAAATTTTTTTCACAGCTCCAAGTTACAGTAGACTTGAGTATTTGATATGAATTTCAGCTTGATCCACGCGTTCCTGTGAAAAAGGGTCTTGACAGACAGACATACAGACAGACGGACAACAAAGTGATCCTATAAGGGTTCCGTTTTTTCCTTTTGAGGTACGGAACCCTAAAAAGGTAATTATATTAAATATTAATTACAATTTATTAGGTAAATAATTTTAATCTCTCAGTTAAGTTCTGTTATGTGTGTTTGATAGCGAGGGATACCTGCAGCGGATATGATATGTAGACGACGCAGTTTCCACGCGTATGTTTATGCTCTACTACCTCACTGGCCCGCATCGCTTAGTTCCCTCGCGCATCTTCCTCGGTCGGCACCACGCACTCTCTCGTCAGAGGGCACTCTCATAATTATGTGTCATAATATGGCATATGACACTACGTTTGCTTGCGCATCTCACTCACTCTATTTCAACACTTCGCTTACGCCGTCATCAATGGACAGTGTTGAAGATACATCATGCGAATACATGCGTTATAATTTTATAATGGATAATTTACCGGATAGTGGCGGTGAAGGAAGGTCCACTACCTCTTACCGTCCTGTGGGTGTGTCTGTTTGTAATGTCAAAGTTATAGTTTTTTACTAAATGCATATGAAAGTATATACGGTACTAATAACAAAAATACAGTTTTTAAAGTTTTTGTCTGTCTGTCTGTCAGTCTGTCTGTCTGTCCGTCTGTATGTCTGTCTGTCTGTCTGTTTGTTCCGGCTAATCTCCGAAACGGCTGGACGGATTTTGACGGGATTTTCACTTGCAGATAGCTGATGTCACAAGGAGTAACTTTGGCTATTTTTATTTTAGAAAAATAATTAGAGTTCCATGCAAAAAAATAAAACCCCAAATAACACGCGGGCGAAGTCGCGGGGAACAGCTAGTAAAATAATAAAAATGGCAGATGCCAACTCCAAGTGTAGCAACTGTGGCAAAATTCTTCCCTATGAGAGAATCTATGATGGGGATCTATGTTCAGCAGTGGATTGTTATAGACTGTAATGGATGGATGGATGAATAAAGATAATTATTATATTTTTTTTAGATATTGAGATATTATTTGAGGGATTAACCGGTTGCCCAATTCTAACCGGACAGTCGTGGTATCATTAATTTGAATACATTAATCAAGGTGCCATATAGTCGGTTGTATAATAGTTCGCCTTTGATAAATTTCGGGACTTTTTTAATATTATTGTAATAAACATTAAAAAAGTTTGCTCCAGAATGTTTATTTATAATTAATGTATGTCTTATCAATATAATTCAGTAGTTTTTAAATTAATTCCCTATTTAACTCACCGACTCAGCCATAAAGACTCGATTATCACTGGCACTTGAAGATAGATGGATAGCTATAGTGCATCTTACGAATGAGTACAGTAGTCTGAAAGCGTTCATGTAACACCAACAGTGACGAGACGGACATGATTAGATTTTAGTCAGTCACCGACCTGATTTCGTTCCAGAATTTCTCCATAGAGAACCATTCCATTGAATTAATAATTCACGGTTCACTAGCGTTGAACAACTATTAAGTTTCTCTATGGAACGCTAAAAGGCGTTACTTTGCGGAAATCCATGTTATTCGATTATATTAAGATCTTAGCGGTCAGCCACCGCAGAGTCTACATCACCTGAAGATGTCTCGTGTAGAGACGAAACACGTGTCGTATTGTCGTCAGTGGTGTGTCTTTCCTAGTGTAGTGGTGTTGGGAGTAGTGGTGCTTGGATTAGTTGTGACGGGGATAGTGCACGCAATAAAGGGAGGGCGGGAGGTTCTCTTCAAACTGGGTAAGATACATCATTTTATTTTATCGAGGTAATTTTTTTACCGAATTTAATAAATAACATGTTTATTCGTTTCTACAAACACTAAAACCTTAATAACAAAATAATTACTTTTAAAAAATAAACAAAGTAAGAAGGCTGCCGAGTCTGCATGATGCTACAGCAATTACCGCACGTAATTATAAAACAATTTGTTTCACAAATTGTATTTTTATGCACCTTCTTCAATGGAAGTAATATATTATGTATAGAGTAAGCTTGGTAATGGCCCATCCAATTTAACAAATTATTTGTTTTTACGACATTTAGTACGGATTATTGATAATGCTTGAAATGATCCGACTTCCCGATGATAAATGATAAATAGGTCACATTATTATCAGTATGTTTCGATTGGAAAATCAATTAAAAATGGACACGTATGTAATGAAAATAAGGCATAGTTTACATAGTCATATGAAATTACTTATGCTTTTCCAGTTCTGGTATTAAATACGGCAATCATAGATAATAGTAGATCGAGAAAAGCCGTGAAAATGGATGTAATGTTAATAGGATAGTAATAGGTTAGGAAAGTAGGTTAGGCCTGGACGTAGAAGTAGTAGCGAAAAGCCGGCGGTGAGTGAGCGTAAGATGCTTCAAGAATGATGTCTTTAAATAAAAAAATAGTTAAAGTTCCAGCCTAAATACATCCTACTGCTGGGCTTCTTTAAATATATTATAGCATTTTTATATATAGAAAATTTGTCGAAAACTTGCTGTTTTAAACGTGAAAGCGTAGATTGTATGTCCACGGTTATTAGAAATGGGTTACGATGAATAATTCTCTGTAACTATTTAAAATTTGGGTTCCTGATGGTACGGAAAAATTTGGCTTGCGTTTCATCGATCTAGTTTGTGTTTTGTTGGTGTTTTTAAGTTTCTATGTTAGTATACTAAACCACATAATGACCACTTCAGCTTAATAATCCGTTGGGCTATGTCGGTTACTCTGGTTCTAATACAGACATCCTCATTTCTAAGTCTATCACTCAGATAAACTTAGAGCATAGCCCTCTCTAGAGCATGATGTGCTACCTTGTGGTTCCTCATACGGTTGCTGTGAAGGACCACGTCTTAATTTCATATATAATTACTGGCAACACGCACTAGTTGTACAATCTTGTTTTGAAGTTTTGAGGTATACGTGACGAGATGTGTCTTGTAAATTATGGAATGAGTAAAGACCGAACACATTGATTGTGAACACAAACATTAACGTTTAATGAAAAACCGTCTTTACAGTAACTAACCGAAAGAAGGTTTTGCAAGAGCATTTTTTCAATGTTATGTCTTATTTGATTGAGATATGATTACAAGTTATTTGTCGGTTTGTACTCATTAATTTATCTTATTTGTTTTTTTTAAATGTCTAATTTACGATCGTTTAGAAATATCAACATTTAGTAAGTTCATTTATATACTTATTGACACTAAGCAATGGTAAAGGTTAATATTTTTTGTACTTGATACCAAATGGAGTAAACTGAAAGGGGGAAACTTTTTTCTTATAAATATGCCATAATAAGCAGCGAGGCGTGTTTTTAACGCATGATAAATCAGTCTGTTATTCAGCTACATAAAAACCAGTTATGTTTGGTACGGATCTGGAAACAGTTGCTTTTGGAATTTCACTTAACAACAAATGCTAAATGGAATCCGAACTGCGCGGTTAAGTTTACTTTTGCGAAGAAAAAAAAAACTCATTGTTATCCACTAAATTAGGCGAAATTTAAACGCTGCTTTATATGCTGTTGGTGCTTTATAGCAAAGCTGGCTTTGTAAACGATTTATCATCATCGAACAATACTGATATGTAGGTAAATATGTTTATTGTTGGAGCAGACTTACAATTCTATAGTGTGCGTGTATTAACATTCACTTAACAGAGTAGATTATTTATTCGCGCCGCCACGGAATAAATAATACTACCTACTGCGAAGCGCCGCGCTGAGATCTCACTTTTCTTGCATTATTACCTATTTGGCACTCACCGGCTTGTCATGTTGCTGAATAAGACCTTCAGTCATTTTCTAATATGTGATAAAACCGCCTCTGCCCGTGCGGTGACGGATGACATCTGTAACAGGCCATCGAGGTCATGTTATTGGCGGCATTCATGATCACAAGACACTAGTTGCGTTGGATATAATGTCTCACTTGTGGTGCGTTGGATGTAGGCAAAGATGCATGAAGGCTGCTCGTGATTCCCGGCGGGAAGTCAAACTCGCGGCATTTCTGACAGTAAGGCAACGTCAAGGCGGGTTTATCACTGAATCACTCGCAAAATGTACGGCACGAGCGGGTGTAGCGCGGGACGCGGCGGGGCGTACGAAATACGAATGACGTGCGCGCTCCGTCCTCCGACCGTCGCTTCCTCTTCCCTCTCGGTTCTGCGCAAAACAAGTGGCACATACGTTCCGTTATGCAAGAATAATATTTTTGTTACACAGTGGCAATTTTAAGTTCTAAAGATGCGTCAAATAATTTACTAAATATAAATTTGAAAATAATTTTTTTTAGGTTTAGTTTTGTTTAACCTTCTTACGTTATTGTTCCAAGCATATAATTTATCTATATATTATGTGATATTTATATAGGTTATACTACGTAATACCAATAATTATTAAAGTATTAATTCATTTCAACAAAATGTGTTTAATTTGTTTTTATCATAAATAGGGGAGGTGGGGAGGGTAATTTTTAAATTAATTATATTAAAGTTATTAAGCGTTTGTGATTATGCCACAGAATAAATAATAGTTAAAATAATGATTACATATGCTAAACCTTTACGTATTTATGTACAACAATGCCTACATACAAACCTACATACCTAATATGATTTATTATTGGTGTTGGATTATTTTTATTAATATATTAATATGTTTTTTAAATGAAACAAGAAAATGAATAGGGCTTACCTTTTAAAATATTATTATTTATTACTGTGCACTTTAGTTTCTTGACTATTTAGTACGTTTTCTGATCATGAACTATATAAACTAACATAATGAAACACGTCGCAAAGTTTGCTATTGAAAAATAGCAGGCGCTCTTTTAAAATATTTTTCATTTGTGAAAGAGATTTTAATTTACGTGTGGGATATTATCTTATAATTTTTTAAATATGCAAACCATGTCAACCGAAGTTATAAAAGTTATATTTATAGGTAGCTGATGAAATGTGTCATTTCAATTTTCAAACCAGTGTTTTGTTTAGTGGCTGTCGTAATAATACTACTTATTAATGGGTCGGCTCGACTGGGGAAGGGCCACGCTCTCACAGAATACCAGCGTAAAATAGCAGCTTAACATTGCTGTGTTTCGTATGGTGAGTGTAGAGAACCGGAGACCCTTTTTACTGGAAAAGAGGTATTTCATCTTAGTCCTCATGGGTGACAACGCATCTGCATTTTGATTCGCAAACGAGGATAGATGTAGATGTCTATGGGCCACAGCAACCACTACCATCAGGTGGACTGTGTGCTCGTTTGTCATCCTATCCTATAAAAAAAACGTGTTGCTTGTTCTCGCTCCGAGAGCTAGCGCATGTGTCCCGCGTCAGTGTGGCGTCATTTGTTACCGGGTGTAACTGAATCGTGTGCGCAACTTGCCTTGCAATATATCAGCAGTGTGGGGAAACGAAACCGTGATTGTACTTCTTGAGCTTTAAGCCGCCTCAAACATGCTTGGCAAACAACGGCAAACAGCGAACACCAAACAACAAACACGAACCTGTGGATGGGTATTTGCCTGTTTTTGTTTGATCTCTGATCGGCGTCGGTGTCGGTTTTTGTGCACAAACCAAATGGTGTTCGACAAATGTGTTTGCGATGTATCCAAACGCTTGGCAATCAGTAGTAGAAAGCGCGAGTGACGGACGGTAGTGGTTATTATTATTATTATACCCTACGACGTGCCATTGTGTATTTAGGTACTGGTGTATTTTATGTAATTTTTGTTTAATTTCATTTTGCCTTTTTTAAGTAAAAATAGGTCAGCCCGAAAGGAGTAAAATTCCCAACAGATCCATCAGACATTTGGAGATCACTTAAAATGTTAATTCTTCTTTCTTCACGTTGTAGTAAGAAATTCTGCATCCATCATTTTCTCTTTCGCTTACGTTTCATTACCTAAATAAGTACTATGTACGCAGCACTAATAGCCACAAACTTCTCGGGCGACATTTCTATAAGCACTGACTACTGTGCCTGCGAAATGTTGCGCGACATATGTCGCGGGACATTCCACGTAGTTGTTTAGCGACATGTTGCGCAACATGCCGCTCCTTTTGTCCCCAAGTATATCCAAGGCTTAACTACAACAAGTACCTAGTCAGGTCAGAAATTCTGTCACATGTTTAATATAAAATAATTGAGACAAGTTTATACATTATATAACCATTTATATACCAAAATGAACTTAACAAAACATAGATTCTTATGACACTAAAGTTTATTCAAAATGACTTCCGTGATTTTGAATACAGGCCTTCAATCTGCGCGGCCAGTCGTCTATCGCAGCACGAACGAGGTCCATGTCAATATCGGCGGCTGCCTTAATCAAGGATGTCTTGAGTGACTCCAAATTGAGGTGAGGCTTTGAGCACGCCTTTTGCTCCAAGTGTTGCCATATCTTGTAATCTAACGGATTCAAATCTGGACTGGAGGAGGGCCAGTCTTCGTGCCGGATGAAGTCGATTTCACGCGCCGCCAGCCAGTCTTGTGTGCTCTTCGCTCTATGAGCTGGCACCGAATCTTGTTGGAATACACAGTGCCTGCTATTGAACATGGTATGAGGAACAGGTTCCACAAGGTTCGTCAGGACTGTATTTTGATACACAACTGCATTCGTATTTACACCTTTCTCACAAAAATGTACCTCTGTTAAGCCCCAATAAGAAACTCCCAACCATACCATGAGCGAGGATGGAAAATGACCTCGTTGGACACGCGGAATACGGTTGCTCTCTTCTTCACTACTGTGTGCGTACACCTTATCATTTTGTTTGTTGTAGCTCTCTTCTACGGTAAAAATTTTTTCATCCGAAAAAAGAATTTCCCGATATTTTTTTCCCGCGTACCGCTTCAACAAAGCGCGGCATCTCTTCAGTCTCAGGTCCATTAGACGAGCATTCAAACGATGTCCTGTTTTTCTTCGATATGCCCGAAGCCCTAAGTCTTCATTTAACATCCTTTTCACCGTGGTTCTGCTTAACCCCATCTGAAGGGCCAACAGTTTCTGCTTACGTTTTGGGATTTCTTTGAATTCGCGCCTTCACAGCTTTTATCACTGCTGGAGTCCTAAGAGACCGAGGGCGACCACTTCTTGACCTGTCATCTACACTAGAGCCTTCATTGTATCGTTTAATGGTACGATAAACAAATCTTTTGGTTATATTCAAATTTTTCAGTATGTCAAAAATTTGAATTGGCGCGTAACCGCAACGATGCAACGCTATAATTGCAACACGGTCTTCTTTAAGCGTCCACTCCACAGTAAAATTCTATAAAGTATACAGTTTTATTTTCATGAACAATTCGAAATTCGAATTCAATAAACTTTTTTGTGGCCAGCATTCTAAAAGAAAAGTTTTTACTGTGTGACAATAGTTATGACCTGACTAGGTATTTATCAAGGTTTTGTCCGCGGCTTTGCCCGCTTGGATTGATAATAATAATAATAATGTCTTTCAGACCGAATTTCCGTCACTGCACAGGACAGGATTGTGTGTACGTAAACATAGGTTCACTCTCTATTCTCTCACTCTCATAGTCCGATGGGACGACAATCCGACACGATCGGAGAAAGATAAGGCGCCGCTGCCGGACCAAAATCATTACGTGCTTTTCGAGGCAAACGAGGGCGAAAGGCTGCTACTGAGAATTGACAGAAAAACCCAATAACTGATTCAAACCCGAGACCACACGATCATCGTTCGCGTTTACGAGCACTAGAGCAACGAGACGAAAATAAGTCAACTGAATGCCGTCTTTTCAAGAAGTGTCTTTTTAGCACACCGTCCACCTCATGGTAAGTAGATGCTGTAACCTGTATCAAGTTATATTTTCACGCCTGAGGACTAAGATGCCACGTTACCAGTAAGAAGAGTCTTCGGTTCTCTACACTCAACATACGAAACACAGCAGCGTTAAGCCTGCGATTGTCTAGGTACGACTTCTTTCGCGTGGAGTTTAAATTACATACGACAAGACCCTCAGAATTGAACGGTTTAAGTATACCTATTAATACCTATCTAAATTAGATTGCTCATTATGTCATTTACTCACCAACGAAGCGCTTTAGGGGCCTTAAAAAAATTTACATGTAAATTATTTGAAACAATTTACATTTAAATTTCGAAGAGAAAAATAAATAAATAAATAAAAAGTATTTATTTGCCACAAAACAATACAATGTTAAAATTTAAACAGACAGCTTAATAATGAATTGTGACAAAACGGTCTGTGACTCAGTTGTAACGGGAAACCCATTACTCATGGTATTCTGCCACAGGTTTTGCGCAGTATCCATGCAGGGTCTTAGGTAAGTGATGAAACACATGTAACAGCAATAAATAAATAAATAAATAAAAATTCAAACAATAAATAAATAATAGTTGCTAAAATACGAAATACAAAAATGTTCACTAATTTGACGGGATATCAGAGCCACTCAGAGCCAGTGACTGTTGTTGAATCAGCCACTTGCGGCATCTTTGCCGGAAGGTTTGCGGAGATATGACGGCTCCGTGGCGCAGTGGCTTAGCAATGAGTTGTTGCGCTGGGGGCCGCGGGTTCGAATCCCACACGGAACAAGTATTTGTATGGCCTACAAATAATTGTTCCGGGTCCGGATGTTTGTCCTCGTGCAATGTATGTTTGTAAACTGCCTCCACGATATAGGAGAAAATCCTAGTGTGGGGGTAACTTTTTTTTTAAAAAAAAAAGAAAGATAGACAGGGTAGACCGGACTGATAAATCGTTCCAGATTTTAGTAGCGGCAAATTTAAAACACCCCCTGGCTC